CCCCGGGGGGCGGGGCTCCAGCGTCCGTCCGTCTCCATGGTGACCGCGGCCGCGCCGGGAGCCGCGGCCCAGACCCGATGGCCCGGGAGCCGGGGCCCAAGCGTGAGTGCGCCCCCGCCCTGCGCCGCCTGACGGCCTTGCGGGCTGTGTGGCCGCCCAGCCCCGGCTGCTCTGAACCCGGTGTGAAAACCGAAGCCGCTTCTGGCGGCCGCGCCGCAGCCCGGGGTCACCGGGTTTGGGGTGCGTGTGGGGGGCGGTGCCTCCCCAGACCGTCTCAGGGTTACGTTCAAAGGAACAGGGTCGTGCGCGCGCGTGCGCACTCGCTCGGGTGTGCCCTGGAGAAGCGTGTGTGCACGTGTGTGCACGCGTGTGTGCGTGTGCGTCCCCTGGGAGGCGGGGGGATGGGGGTGACTTCTAGACGGTGCGGGAGCGCCCGTCGCGAAGAGGGCGGCCCCGCCGCCGCGCAACGCCCGCCCGGGTGCCCCGACCCCGTAGCCTTTGCCTTCCCGCCACGCGGCGGCCTGGAAACGGGCTTGCTGGTTCCGATGGAGTTGTTTTGTTTTGATTTTTTAAAATGTTTTCATTTATTTCTGAGAAAGAGAGAGAGACAGCGTGAGCCAGGGAGGGTCAGAGAGAGAGGGAGACACAGAGACTGAAGCGGCTCCAGGCTCCGAGTGTCAGCACAGAGCCCGACGCGGGGCTCGAACCCACGCACCGTGAGGTCACGACCTGAGCCGCAGTCGGACGCTCCACCGAATGAGCCCCCAGGCGCCCCTCCGATGGGTTTTGGGCCGAGAGAAAGCTTTCCGGGTCGCGCAGGGGTGTGAACGGTAAAACGCTGCGAACCGGGTGCTCCTGCGCGCACGTGCGCGCGCCCCCTTCCGAGCGCACTGGCTGGTGCGCGGGCCGCCCCCGGCCGGCAGTGTAGACGCGACTTCGACGCTCTGCGCCTCGGTGTCCGCCGTCAGGTGCGGTTCCTCGGCTCCCCGTGCAGGGACTCCACTGACTGTGGTCATGAACCCCCCCCCCCGCCCTTTTTAAATAAAGACTCTACGTGGTACCGCGTCCCAGGACAGCCTGGCCCCGGGCGGGGCGCGGTCCGGCCGGGGGCCCGGGGGCTATGCAGGCGCTGTCCGAGCTCCTCGGTGCCGCGGCGGCCGGCTTCCCGCGCTCCGGGAGGCCCCCCGGCCGCGGACGTGGCGCCCACGCGCCTGCGAAAACACCGCCTTCCGTGCGCGCCCCGCGGGGCTTGGGGGGCCCCTTTGGGGAGCGGGCGGGGGCGGGGGCTCCCGGGCGTGGCCGGGTGTGGACCGCACACCCTTACTTGCCTTGCCGTGTTCGTGTGCGCGGCCCCCACGTTTCCTGCGGCGGCGGGACACGCTCAAGCGCCCCCTTTTATTTTGGGGATTTATCTGTGCGGGGGGGGGATCCGCCGCCAGGGAAGAAACCGGCCTCCGGGCGCCCGCGGGGCGCGGTTAAGCCCCTGAGTCCTGACCCGGCTGGTGGGTTTGAACCTGCGTCGGGCTCTGCGCCGCCAGTGCAGCCGGCTTGGGACTCTCTCTCCCTCCCTCTCTGTCTCTCTCTCTCTCTCAGAAATAAATAAACATTTAAAAAAATAAAAAATGGGGCGCCTGGGTGGCTCAGTCGGTTGAGCGTCCGACTTTGGCTCAGGTCACGATCTCGCGGTTCGTGGGTTCAGGCCCCGCGTCGGGCTCTGTGCTG